AATAAAATATTAAAAAAAATTTTTTTTTTAAAAAAGTATTTGGGTACATGGCTATAAGCCCAGCATTTGGGAGGTGGAGGCAGGAGGATCAGAAGTTCAAGGTCATCCTCTGCGCCATAGCAGATTTGAGGCCAGCCTAGGCTTTAGGAGATCCTGTCTCAAACCCACCAAAAAAGGATATTTTAAATTACAAATATGTGCCATTACACTCCCTGAATACTTGTTTATGTCTCTTTATAAAGACATTTGATTTCATCATCAAAATAATGTCATACCTAAATAGTAATAAGTAATTCTTTTAGTGAGTTCCTATTCAGCTTTCCTCACTTTTTCTAAGGATGTCATGAACACTTGTTTTGGCTCTGTAAGTTTCCTGTCCAGCAAGGTGCGTTGTGTGTGGTTTTTTTCAATCTGAAACAGTCTCTTGTTTCATGCTTCTTTCTGGCTTGCTAAAGAGCCTGTGCTTACTGTTCTGGAATTTCCTACTTATATTTGTCTGATTAGCTCTATATAGTTATCTTAACTGGAAGTTAGATGTAAAAGTTGGACTATATTCAAGTTCCTGACTTATTTCCAAAGGGAAATGTATCTTTAATGTTGCATCGTACCAAGAATCACATAAAAGCCAGTGTTCAAAAGAGTAGAGGCTCTTTTTGTGAATGTACATGGGTGCATGTATGTTACGGCATGTGGATATATGCAACGGCACATATCCACAGATACGTCAGAGGACAATTTGTAGGAGTTGGCTATCTCTACCATGAGGATCCTAGGGATTGAATTTAGGTCCTTGGACTTGGTTGCAAGCACCTTTATCTGCTGTTATCTTGCTGGCCCAGAATAGATTCTCATAACTTGGAGCCTATGAATAGGTTTTAGGAATCAGTGGATCCCATGAAACTGCATACTAAATTGCATGGGTTCCTGCATGTTTATAGAAAAAAATCTTAGTTTCCATCAAATTGTTTTAAAGACGTTTATCCCTTTCACATGCCTAAGATGACTGGTAGGAGGCAGGTGAGTGGTGCTGGATTACCCTGAGGAGTGCTGTTGGTCTGCCTCCTTGTCTCTGTAGAAATAGTGGGCTTTTTCTTATTATTTTTTCTTTTTTACTTTCTTTTTTTTTTTGGTCTTTTTGAGACAGGGTCTCCTTGTAGCCCCAGCTGTCCTGGAACTCACTATGTAGACCAGGCTGGCCTGGAGCTCACAAAGATCCACCTGCCTCTGCTTCCCAAGTCCTGGGATTAAAGGCATGTGCCACCACACCTGGCTTTCTTCTTTACTTTTTTAAAAAAGATTTTCCTTATTTTTATTTTATGTGTATAAGCATTTTGCCTGCATGTATGTAAGTGCATGACTGAGCCACCAGGTGGGTGCTAGGAACTGAACATGGGGGCCTCTGGCCAGAGCAGCCAGTGCTCTTAACTGCTGAGCCATCTCCCCAGTCCTGTAGTTGCTTTTCCTTTGTTTTCTTTTTGAGACAGGGTTGGGGCATGTTGTACAGCCTGGCTTTGAGCTCCTGGCAAGCCTCCTGGTAGGCCATTTATTATGAGACCTTGAGCAAGGCCCTATATTCTCATTTACTCCTTTAATTAATGGTGGTGTTCCTTGAGACAAGCCGGTCAGTGTTCAGAGCTGTCCCTGTACCTTACTGTAAGGTCACTGCATTCTGGGTACAAGGGGTAGGTGGAAAGAGAGACCCTTCTTTCCTTTTATAATCCTAGTTCCACTTACTAGCTGAAATGAACTTTGGTCCTTTTAGGAGAGGAGGATAGTTCTAGAGGGATGGGGCTGTGTGTTCCAGTATTCTCACCCTTCTCTCTTTTCTCTGTTTTGCCCCTTTGAGGAAAAGCCCAAAAGTTACAGGTATCCTGTCCTTACTTATGCTGCTGCTGGTGTAGTAGTGCCTCTTGGCATATAACCTGTCAGGATTTTCAACTTTTTGGAATTGGAGGTCTGAGGATATGGGGGGAATCAATTTGGAGTAGGACAGAAAGGGAGCGCTTCCCCCTGCTGTAGCCTCTGTGTACTGGCAGAGGAAGCACTGGTCTGTGAAAGTAGTTGTCAGATTAGTTTATGCTTTTGATTGTTCTTTTCTTAGTAAAGAGGATTTGACTGAAGAGGGACCTAATCTTGGACTTTAGCTGCTGGGTCAGGAGTTGCAGTAAATTTCTAAGACTCTTCTGGGATCAGCTACTCCACCGTGTGGGTCTCCTAGGATCAAACTGTCAGTAAAGACATTAGGTTGAAGAGAGTAGCTTTGGAAGGAAAGTGACTTCACTGGCTGTGTGATGTTTTATTTTTCAAATAGGATTGTCTCTTGTCTTTAGACCTATCTTTTTTTTTTGTTTGCTTTTTTTGTATTTTTGAGACAGTCTCCCTGTAGCCCCAGCTGGCCTGGAACTCGCTATGTAAACCAGGCTGGCCTCAAACCACAGAGATCTGCCTGCCTCTGCCTCCTGAGTACTGGGATTAAAGGCATGTACCACCATGCTTGGCAACCTATCTGTTTTCAAAGACCTATTTTATTTTGCTTTTATCCTGATAGTAGCCACCGTTGTTTTTGAGAATATTTACGGTTATATAGGTGGAATGTGTTGAATTTCATTAAAAAGGCAAAAAAACAGAACTCGAGAGGCAGAGGCAGGCAGATCTCTGTGAGTTCAAGTCCAACCTGGTCTACATAGCAAGTTCCAGGCCAGCTGGGGCTACAGGAAGACCCCCCCCAATTGTTAGAGTAGCAAAAAGCCCCATTTAAAAAAAAAAAGTACATGAAGTTGTCATAAAAAAGTGATGGGGAGATTTGGGAGGAGTTGGAGGGGAAGGAGTGGGCATAGATTTGATCAAAACACCTTATATGCATATATGAAATTCTCAAATTTTTTTTAAAGCAAAACAAAAAAAGACACCCTCCCCCCCCAAAAAAAGAAAAAAGGCAAAGAAAGATTATTGCCTTTCTTCATAATCTTCATTAAGAAGTAAAAAACCCCAGGTTGGAGATGGCTCATTCAGTAAACTGCTTGCCACACAAGCATGATTACCTGATTTTAGATCACTAATACCCAAATAAAAAGCTGAGTGCAGGGGTATGTGCTTGGAGAGGTGCTGCCAATGAGCCAGCCTAGCTAAATTGGTGAGCTCAAGGTTCAGTGAGAGACCCTGTCTCAAAAAATAAAGTGGAACCGGGCATGGTGGTACATGCCTCTCATCTCAGCATGTGGGAGGCAGAGGCAGGTGGATTTCTGAGTTCAAGGCCAGCCTCATCTTTATAGGGAGCTCAAGGCCAGCCAGGGCTATATAATAAAACCCCATCTCAAGAAAGAAAAAAATAAAGCCCTACATAAACTAGGTAACTTCATTTAGTTGGTAGATTGTAGAATTTTCTAATTAGAACATAAGGAAATACATTTAAGAGCAGGCAAGATGGCTCAGTGGGTAAAGGCGCTTGCTTCCGAGCCTGACAGTTGCAGTTTAATCTCCAGAATCCACATAGAAGGAGGAGAGAACTGACTCCTGCAAGTTGTCCTTTGACTTCCACATATGCATGGTAGCCTGTGCTGGCATGTGCACGTACATGCACACACGGACACATATAAAATGTAGTAAAAAATTTTTTTAAAAAAGAAAATACATGCCGGGTATGGTGGTGCACACCTTCAATCCCAGCACTTGGGAGGCAGAGGCAGGCGGATCTCTGTGAGTTCAAGGCCAGCCTGGTCTACATAGTGAGTTCCAGGACAGCTGGGGCTACAGGGAGACCCTGTCTCAAAAAAGACCGAAAAAAAAAGAAAGAAAATACATTTAAATTCTGAATGTGTTATTTACCAGAGGGCTACAGGGAGACCCTGTCTCAAAAAAGACCAAAAAAAAAAGAAAGAAAATACATTTAAATTCTGAATGTGTTATTTACCAGCAGCAGACCTGTTTATTTTTCTGTTTGTCCACTCCTCTGATGGCTCACCCGTATATGCTGACCTTAGACTATGGTTGTCAGTGCCTTCATTATTATATCTATATTCTTGCTTTGTTTACTTGTTTGTTTTTTTTTTAGACAGGGTCTCATGTAGCCAGAGTAGCCTCTAACTCACAATGTAGACGAGGCTGACCTTGAATTCCTACCTCCACCTTCCCAGTGCTGGGATTACAAGCATGCACCACCGCACTGGGCTCTACATCTATGTTTTTATTAACCTATAAAATGTCCTTTGCCAGAGACTAAGCCAGCAGTGCTGTCTTGTTCTCAGCGATCTGAGTCACTGGTCTTTCTTCCTCTGTGGCGGCTTCTACGTTACCATTTGGTGGCGGGTGGTGGGGGTTGTGCTCTTCAGTTCACAGAGGTGCTTTCTGTGTGAGTGTTGCATGCTCATTTTAATATATTAAAATAAGTAGTGTTTTTCTCCTTTTGAATTAATATACATTCAAAACTAACTCCCAGATGAATGCTCAGAATTATAGAAGAAAGGAGATAAGGTCACAAGTGGGTGAAGTTCATGATTTGTTCTTTCTCAGTTTCTGTGTTGATGAATTTTGTGAAAAAGAATATGGTATACTGGGAAGGTGAGCTGAGGAGGGATTTTTTTTTTTTCCTGTATGCATTATTTTCTGTGGTCCAGCAAGCGACCTGGAGGGTGTCCTGATAAGGAAGTTGTGAAATAGGATAAAGGACCATATTAAAGAAGAACTTGTCAACTTTCCCTGCAAAGGAGAACAGACCCTCGCAAAACATGTTGGAGTTTTAACCAGGTTGCTTAGCAGATGTTTTATAAGTTCTTCTGGAAGAAAGTTCTGCAGGTCTAGTTTTGTCACCCCAGGGCTAATGAGGACCTCCTCATTCCTGTCCTAGTCTCCTGTCCTAGAGGTAGGTCCATATTTCATTTCTTCTTGGTTCTCTGTGCCTCTCTCCTCCTCTTGTCCAGGTTTGCCTATGTCATCTGTAATGCCTGGAATTCTTCTAGGCTGGGGGTGTGACTGTCTTGTGATCAGAACTCTCTGTGTTGTAGGTGGCAGATGCCTTTGTGTTCCTTGATGACCTGCCTGGGCCTCAACATCTTGCTCCTCACTTTGAACGAGGGTAAGAACTACTGCTAGAGGGCCAGTGGTTTTTTGGTAGATGAATGTGGGGGAATCCCATGAGATGGGGTTGTGTGCCTGGGGTTAGCTTCCTTTTGGGTCTGATGTCAGAACATAGGTTCTGGAAAGATCACCAAGGCTCAGCCTCTGTGTTACAAATGATTTAGCCCATCTGTTAAACCTCAGTTTCCCTCATCTCTAAAGAGAAGATAATAACAGTGCTTCCTCATGAGTATTCATGAGGAACGAGAGCCCATGTACTGCTTAGTCCAGTGCCTCACACAGAGTCAGCATAGTTGCTGGTGCTATTTGTTTCCTTGTCTGCCAGCAGATGCATTGACCCTTTCCATGTTGCTTTCCTAGCTGATTCAGGGGACATAACATGGGGTAAGGGTAGTAGGAAGAGGAGCTGAGGAGAGATTTTTTTTTTGCCATATCTGTTTTTATTTATTTATTTATTATTTATTTTTGGTCTACAAATGAGCCTGGGGAGTGTGCTGAGTGACCATGAGCAGGGACAAGAGGCACAAAGCCTTGAGAAAGAAAGGTGGTAAATGTAGAAGTTCTGGGTGGCAACATCTTCTGAGGACTTTGTGTTATGTATGTTGTGACCTTGCATTTCTGGGTTGGAAGTGACAGATGGTTGTAGAAAAAGCCCTCTTAGGGGAAAAGAGTCAAGGATCTAGGGAAGAATGTTCTGAGAAGCTGGTCCTTTATGTATTCTTTTTGTATGTTTTATTTTGTTTGAGACAGGGTCTCCCTATAGCCCTAGCTGGCCTGGAACTCACTATATGGACAAGCTTGGCCTCAAATTCATGGAGATTCTCCTGTCTCTGCCTCCTGCGTGCTGGATTAAAGTCTTCTTTGTGCACACCCAGCTTCCTTATGTATTCTTTTTTAAAAAAAATTTTAATTTTATTTATTATTTTATGTGTATGTGTGTATTGCCTGCATGTATGTGACATTGTTATGTATTATTTATTATTTTTATTTTATGTGTATGAGTGTATTCCCTGCATGTATGTGTGTGCATCCATGTTGTGCAATGCCATGGAGGTCAGAGGAGGGCATCGGATTCCCCTGGAACTGGAGTTAAGGACGGTTCATAGCCACCATGTGGGTGCTGGGAATTGAAGCCGGGTCCTCTGCAAGAGCAGTCAATGCTCTTAACCACTGAGCAATCTCTCCAGCCCCCTTTATGTATTCTTTTTTAAAAAATTAAATACTTTATTATTTTTATTTTCTGTGTATTAGTGTTTTACATGCATGTACATAAATAAGTGCATTTGTGTCATGCATTGCCCCGGAGATCAGAAGAGGGTGTTTGATCCCCTGAACAGGAGTTACAGACAGTTGTTAGCTGCCATGTGGGTGCTGGGAATTGAACCTGGGTCCTCTGTAAGAGTAGTCAGTGCTCTTAACCACTGAGTCATCTCTCCAGCCCCTTTATGTAGTCTATATCACATTTATATTTCTCAATGTTTTGTTTCCTATGGAAATATGGAGCCATTGGGTTGAAAATTAGCCCAGTTCATCCAAAATCATCTTGTGTTTTTTTTTCTTTTTTTGAGACAAGGTCTCACCATGCAACCTTGGCTAGCCTGGTACTCTGTAGCCAGGCTAGTCTTGAAGTTACAGAGATCTGCTTACCTCAGCCTCTTGGGTGCTGGGATTAAAGGCATGCACTATCATACCTGGCTTTTTAATTTAACTTAATTTTAATTGTTTGGATTTTGGGACAGTGTCTCCCTATATAGCCCAGGCTTGTTTGGAATTCCACATTCTCCTGCCTCAGCCTCCTCAGTGCTGGGGCTATAAACGTGTGCCGTCATACTTGACTTTCTTTTTCTTAGTTGGACTGATGCTTCTTTGATCAAAACTTCCTAGGATGTTAGGTTTTCTGGAAGATGTTTCTGAAGTTAATCAGTTCCTATGACAGATGTTTAATAAGCATTTATAATGGCCTGCTGCACTCTTATCTTGCTATTGGGAAATTGTGTTGAGGGGCAGAAGTTCCTGCTTTGAATTTTATCTCTGCATCTTTATCCCATAATCCTCAGGGCCCTATATTATCCTGAAAGCCAAAGGAAAGGCTTCCATTCTGCCTTAGTGGTGCAAAGGGCTAAATTTCCATCATTGTGGAATTCCCATCAGCCAGACTGCTGTGTGCTGGCAGCATTTAAAAATATATATATTAAAGGAGGCTGGAGCTCCATCAGTGACCACATGGTTGAAGTGCCAGCACTTCAGAGCTGACAGAGTGGGAGGAGACAGTGAACAAACCCATAGTGAAGGTGGTGTGGTGATAAAATCTATGAGGAAAATCAAAGCTGGGCTGATGGGGCCACAGAGTGGGAGTAAGTCCTCCCCACACTGTGTTCAAGGAAGGCCTCTCAGGCAGGGTCCTGGAGGAGGTGAGAAAGCAAACATGTAGGTATTGTGGGCAGGCTTTTGGGCCTTGTTTACCTGTTCCTTTAGTGTTCTTGATCTCTTAGGTGCGTGGTACTCAATGGGTGTCTTGATGATTTCGGTGCCTGCCCTGCTGGGCTACCTTCAGGAGGTTTGCCGGTCACAGCTGCCAGAGTCTGAGCTGATGCGGAGGAAGTATCACAGCATAAGGCAGGAAGACCTGCAGAGAGTTCGCCTTTCCCGCCCAGAGGCCGTGGCTGAGGTGAAGAGCTTGTGAGTACTGAAGGGAGGTTAGGGAGGTAGGGAATGAACTGGCTACCACCCTGAGTGCTGCTTGTGTGTGACAGACTTTATTCATTTAATCTCTTTACCAGTTCTGGGCAGTGGCTGCTATTATTGTCCTCTTATTTATGGGTGAAGACAAAGGCTTAGATAGCTAGAAAGTGACCCAGTTCGGATGAGACTCCAGATTCAGCTTTCACAGCTATACATTTTACCCTAGAGAGACCACCTAGGGTCTTAACTGTTGCCTGTGTAAGCCATTGCTTGGTTCAGACCCCACCTCTTCAACTTACTGTGTAACATTGGACAACTTCCCTAAGCCTCAGGTCCCTTGTCTGTCAAATATGGTTGTAAAGTTTGCTCTAGTGTCAGATACCTAGGAAGTATTTAGTGTTAATTATCATTACCATCCTAAGCATGATAGAGCTGGTGTTTTGAGGAAGTAGCTTGAGACCATCTTTGATGGCAGTTGACTTTTCGTGAACCTTCCCTTGGATCAGGTTCCATGTAGGCTTTTGACATGCAGCAGGGTGAAAACAGAAATAACAGAGGCCCAGAAATTCTGAGCCATCAGGAGTAAGTCCTAAGTATCTGAAAAAAATTTTTTTTAACTGTGGAATAATTTCCAATTTAAACAAGAGATACAAAAATAATGAAAACAGCCCCATAAGCCCTTTAACCAGATGGGATAATTAATTATTAACATTTTGTCACATTGACTTCAGTTATTTCTACTTTTTTTTTTTTTTACCTGAATCATTTGAGAATTGTAAACATCATTTCTGTTTACTCCAAACAGTGTCCTGAGTTCAAGGACATTGTCTTCTGTATTCCCAGCATTAAAATCAGAATTACAAAACTTATATTGGTGCTAACATTAGTATTGTTTTCTACTATATAGTTCATAATTACATTTTGTCAGTTCTGTTGATAAAGTTCCATACACACACACACACACACACACACACACACACACACACATTTATTCAGGATTCAGCCTAGGATCATACATTACATTGAGAGATTTCTGTCCCCTGTGGTGCTGTGATTACACCCAAGACCTTGCCTGCCAAGCAAGTACTCCACCACTGAGCTGTACCTCAGCTTGTACATTAATTTTTATGTTCTTTTAACCAAAAATGAGAAGTTCCTCATTATATTAGTTACTTTTCTGTTGCTGTGATAAAACATCATGACCAGCCGGTCGTGGTGGTGCACACCTGTAGTCTCAGCACTTGGGAGGCAGAGGCAGGTGGACCTCTGTGAGTTCAAGGCCAGCCTGGTCTACATAGTGAGTTCCAGGACAGTTGGGGCTACAGGGAGACCCTGCTTCAAAAAGACAAGCAAAAATAAAAAAACATCATGACCAAGGCAACTTAGAGAAGGAGGAGTTTGTTGGCTCACTGTTTCAGAGGGATGTGTCCATTGTAGTAGAAAGGCAGGACAGTAGAGGTGACTAGAGCAGAAAGCTGAGCACTCACACCTTCAAGCACTTACAGGAAGCAGAGGGAGACAGACTCAAAATGGGGCAAGACTATGAACTCCAGTGATGGCCTTCCTTTATCCAGCAAGGCCATACCTCCTAAACTTACCAAAACAGTACCATCAACTGGGGCCTATGGGAGACATTTCCTCATTCAAACCACCACACTCATGACCTTGAATAGTTGATAAAGTACAAGCTTATTTACTTTTTACTTTAAAAATTTTTTTACCTGTTTGAGACCGCATCCCCTGTAGCCCTAGCTGTCCTGGAACTTACTGTGTAGACCAGGCTGGCCTTGAACTCAGAGATCCACTTGCTTCTGCCTCTCGAGTGCTGGCACTAAAGGCATGGACCACCACACTGGGCTCAGTACAAGCTTATTTATATTGTTGAAACGTCCTCATTTTGTGTTGTTGGGTTCGTTGTGGTTAGATTCAGGTTATACATTTTGGACAGGACTGTGACAAGTGGTGTGTGTCATCGCCACTGCTTCAGTATCCGGGGCACACAATGTTAGGAAATAACACTTTGATCACTTGCTTAAGGCTTTTCTGTGGTAAAGTATCATTAACCTTCATTACTAATCTAAGGGGAGATACTTTGAGACTGTGTGGTATCTTACTCTTTGACTCACTGCTTTAAAAGTTGTTGGTGGGACTTGGCCTTAATCAGTTTGTCACATGGTGGTGAGGAGGTGGTTCTTTGCCATCATTCTGTCTGCATTTATTGTCAGTATAAATGGCATAGATTTTTATTTCATTCAGTGGAATGGTAATCTGTTACGGTCCATGTATCCCTCTCAAATTGTTTTAGGTTTGACCAGTTGGATTTTCTTTGAGCTGGTTTTTGTGTTCTTTCAGTATATCCCCATCCTTTTTCAGTGCTGCCTTACTTTATGGTACAACAGAGCCGAGTGTGGTGGCGCATGCCTTTAATCCCAGAATTTGGGAGGCAAAGGCAGGAGGATCTCTGAGTTCAAGGCCAGCCTGATCTCCATAGAGAATCCTGGCCAGCTGCAGCTACAGGGAGACCCTGCCTCAAAAAGACAAAGAACAAAACAAAACAGGATATTCAGATTTGTCTTACACCTTCCCTGCTTCAGCCCCAGAAGCAGCCATGTTTCCAGTGAGCCCTTCAGGTCTAGAGAACTGACTCTACAAAGCTGTCCTCTGAACGCCACATGTGTGAAATTGCATGCATGTGCCCACACGTGATAATAGATGAAATGAATTTTTTTTAAAAGAGCAGGAACTGCTTCTACCTCAGCAAGGGGCCTCCAAAAGAGAACTGAAATGGATCAGGAGCACCTGTGTCAGTCCATCTTCTCTCATGCTCCGGCGACCCAGCAATGCCTTTGTACAGATTGCCCATTCCTCCCCAGGAGCTGCTCTGCCTCCCCAGAGCTTCCATATGGTCCTGCCTGGTAGGTGGGTGGGTGGGGCAGAACCTTCCCACTCACAGATGCTCCTGTGTCTGCAGCTTGATCCAGCTGGAGGCCTTCCTGGCCCGCTTGTGCTGTACCTGTGAGGCTGTCTACCGTGTACTACACTGGGAGAACCCTGTGGTCTCCTCACAGTAAGTGGTCCTCTACTCTCTCCACCCCACCACCCTGTGGGAATCTGCAGCTTGAATCCCTACCCTTTACCCCCCAAGTGAAGTGAGCTGCCTTGTAAAGACTTTTGCCTGCTTTAGAGGAAGAAAGAGCACCGCATGGCCCTTGGGTGTGGATCTGCACATAAGCTTCTGGGCTCTAATTTGTTGCTTTTGTTTAGATGCCTTTAAAAAAAGTAGAGTATGGGTCTGGAGAGATGGCTCAGCAGTTACGAACACTGGTTGTTCTTGCAGAAGACCGGGGTTCGAATCCCAGCACCCACATGGCAGCTAACAACTGTCCATAACTCAAGGGATCTGACAACCTCTTCTGTCCTCCGAGGGCATTGCATGACACGGGTGCACTTACCTACATGCAGGCAATACACTCATACACATAAAATAAAAATAATAAATAAAATATTTTTTAAAAATTACAGAGTAAAAGTACTTTAATAATAGGCAGGGAATTCACTGTGTAATCTACCACCCTGATATAGCAGCTACTCTTCATGTTCAGCTGCTTTCTAGAGCTGATCATGTGCCTATAGCTTTGTGGTGTATATGAGATACCCTTCCTCCTCTCTTAATTACATCATAAATTATCTTCTTGGTTGCTACAAAGCCTTTGGATTTATTTTGCAGTATTAGAGTAACTTGGGCTGTGAATGATTGTAGTTTACAGAAGCATTCTGTTTTCTACATAGCCACTTTCTGCTTTTCATTGCTAACCCTACAGTGAACATTTTATCGACTTAGCTTTACTCTTTTGAAGTTTTTTTTTCTAGAATGAACTTAAAGATGAAATTACTGCATCAAATGGGATGGATGCTTTTGAGGCTCTTTCTATATGAATAATGAGCTTTTGAGACTCTTTCTATATGAATAATGATTGTGTGATTCTATGTTTCATTTTGTATCAGGCTCTGTGCTCAGCATTTTCTATTTGTTGTCTCACTTTTTCTAGTAACCCTATGAAGTAGGTGCTGGTTTACTTTGCATTTTATGGGTGACAGAAGTAGTGCTTAAGAACCAAGGGACTTGCCACAAAGAAGTGGCAGAATTGCATTCAGACCCCAGTCCGTCCCTAGGCTTCAGAGTTCAGATCCTGTGAGTGATGATGGCTGGGCTGGTGCCCCGCCTAACAGATGGCCTCACCAGTGTCAGTTGTTAGAAACCAGTAACTCATTGGTACTTCTGAATGCTTCCTCAATAGTTTTCTACTGGTTTGGTTAGCAAGACTTTTGAGTTTGTGCCCAGAGCTGTTTCTTACCTGGATGCTCCCTCCCAGTTTCCTTCTGATCCTGTGACTTTTTGGTCATCCAGGTTCTATGGCGCTCTTCTGGGAATGGTTTGCATGCTCTACCTGCTGCCACTCTGCTGGGTCCTCGCCCTCTTAAACAGCACTCTGTTCCTGGGAAATGTCGAGTTCTTCAGAGGTAAACTCCAGAGAGCCTGACAGCTGGGTCCTGGCCTGTTCTCAAGGCCACTTAAGGCTTCTTGCTACGGTCAGTTTGCTGTGCCTGCCACAAGGGGGCAGCTCCCCACTGGGTTCTCCCTTGGAGGGCTATTGCTGGATCTCTGAGGTGTTAGGGGAGGGTGACATCTCTTTAGGCTGACACCGGAGGGGTCCCCTCTCCCTTCTCAAGGTGGATGAGGGAGGGCTGTTTTTACTAAAATGCTAGCTGTTTCCTGGGCTGTGGCCACCTGGAATAGCTGCCACATCTCCATGTGATCCTTGAGTCTGCTGTCTGGTTTCTGAATGGAGAGGCCCTCTGCTTGGGTGATTGCTCTCTTTATTTCCCCTCTTTGATAGGGTAACCTTTGATAATTCCAGAAGCTATAATTTATGGAGCACATACTACATTGATCTCTGGCAGTCTGGGGTAGGTGATAGAACCCGTTTTATTCATGAGAGATGATTAGGTGACTTCCTGTATCAGAGGGTGGGGTACTGGTAGAAGTGAACACTCCCATAGCACACACTTTTGTGTCTTTGAGAAATCCCCTCTGTGAGTCCTTTCTGAGATTTTTTTTTTTTTTTTGAGACAGGGTCTCATTATGTCACGATATAGCCCAGGTTGACCTGGAACTCACTATGTAGACCAAGCTGGCCTTGAACTCACAGAGATTCACCTGACTCTGTTTCTCAAGTACTGGGTTTAAAGGCTTGCGCTACACTCTCCACTCATTATGCCTCATGTCACTTGCAACCCTGTTCTCTGTTCCCTTGGCAGTGGTGTCTGAGTACAGGGCATGTCTGCAGCGGCGGATGAACCCCAAGCAGGAAGAGTATGCCTTTGAGAGCTCACCATTGCAGGATGCTGGGGGAAGAGGTGCTCTGCTGGACAGCACACCTGCCCCCACCCCCACGGAGGTGAGTGCTCTGCACTGCAAGAGCCTGCTGCAGTCATGTTGTGGGTCTTCCCTTGTTTGTTCTCTTTTCCCCCTTCCCTTTCCTTATCAGCTTGTTTGTTTTATAAGGAGTAGCTCCTAGATTGGCTTCTGTTATGAGCCCTGCTTCTTCATGGGCCTGGGTCTCTGGAGTGCTTAGTAGTAAGTGCAGTAAGAAGCTGCATCTGTCTAGGCTTTACTGAGCACTTGCTCTGTGTCAGGTGCTGTTTTAAGTGCCTCAGTGATATTAGTGCCTGTGGGGCTTATCTGAGAATGTGCTTATTGCCAGGAGCAGAAGAAAAAGCTGAGGCACAGAGTGGCTGTACAGGCCTCATTGCTAGTAAGTAGGATTGGGTCTCAGACTGGAGCCTGTCGCTCTAGAGCCCTGATCTTGGCCAGTGTAGGCCCAACTGTGTCTTATTTCATCACCCTGGCCCTTCAGGCTAGAGGGTGCTCTTTCCCATGACTTGTTTCTTTGCCGAAGCTGTGCGGTTTCCTTTGGGGCATGACCACGTGTGTTTTGGAGCCTAGATGTGGACCCTAGGGGCAGGTGGCACTCTTCTGTGGGGATCAGGGTTACCATCTTTCCCTTTTGTCATAGAGTCTCTCTTCCTAGGACCTCACGCCAGGCAGTGTGGAGGAGGCTGAGGAGGCTGAGCCAGATGAGGAGTTCAAAGATGCAATTGAGGTGGGTGGCCCTCCCCCGGTTCCCTCTACTGACCAGACCAGATGTTGGGTGGGCCGAAAGCTGTGGGTTTTTTATATCCACTTGGGAAGCCACAGCTTGTTCTGAGCTAGAACTTACTGATTGAAAGGGTGCCACTGGCCTTTCCTCGTTCCAGTCATCTGTCATGGGTGCCTGAAGCAGGATTGGCCCTGTGGACCTGTGTGAACTACTGCTGGGCTATTGTGGGTTTGTTGCCTGGGCCAAAGATGGGCTAGGGGCCATGATGTCAGGAGGACAGATTTGGAGGAGACCCTGCCCTGTGCCTCTGCTGCTCTGCAGACTGAGTTCCATAGATGTCCCTTTGGGAGGGTGGAGAAAACAGTTGTATAGCCAAGTGCTAGGTCATGGGAAGTTTAGCAACGTTGATTTAGATAGTAATTTAAACTGGTAGTTTGCAGAAGTGTTTTATTTGGCTTGTAAAGTTTTAGAATAAGTCTTTGAGCTAGTGTTTTAAACTGTGTAGATTTTAGTTAGAACTGTAGATTTTTCAGTTTTTCTAGTAGCCCTGAGTCTGCAGCAGTCAGTGTACCTGAGATGTCATTGTCTCCTTTATTTAAGTCATGTGGGCTGGCAAGATGGCTCACTGGGTAGAGGTGCTTGCTACTAAGTCTGACAACTTGAGTTTGATCCTGGGAACTCACATAGTAGAGGGAGAAAACTGACTCTTGAAAGTTGTCCTCTGACTTTCATACTTGAGCTGTGCATGTACACACACTTACACATACACTAAATGGATTTAGACAAGTCATGTACTACAGTTACACATAGTCCTGGTGTTGGCTCTGGATACTGAGGCCTACTGACTTGCTGTTTGTCATTCCCTTTGCATTGCTGTTTGTCTTAGAATAGGGACTCATTTCTCTTCCTGGCTCTCTGTAAAGTGGGAGGTTTTGCAGTGTGCAAGAGTCTTGTGAATTTTCACTAGGCCTGTGATACATTCCTGACTTGTTTCTTTGTCAGACCTGCCTGTCCCTGCTGGCATTTCACATGTAATTGCTACTGATTGCTTCAAGACCTGATAATGATTGTAGGCTATATGAATCTGGGGGTAGAGATGGCTATGGCACAGGCTTTCAAGCATTTGTGTTGATGACCTAATTAAGGAACACATTTTTTATATCCAGACTCATTTCATACTTAAGTCTATAAAATATGTGGAACTTAGCTGGGCGTGGTGGTGCACGCCTTTAGTCCCAGCACTTGGGAGGCAGGCAGATCTCTGAATTCAATGTCAGCCTGGTCTACATTTGCAAGTTCTAGGCCAGCTGAGGCTGCAGGGAGACCTTGTCTCAAAAAGACCAAAAAAAGAAAAAATGTGGAACTTAACTCAAAAACTTAACTGAAAAGGCATTGTAAGGGATATTTGCTTTCCTACTTTGTTATGTTCAATTTGAATAATGACCTAGAGGGAACATATTAGCATGCAACTTCCTCTAAGCTTCCTGGAGGCTGGGCTGCTTTCAAGGAGGCTATCTGTTAACCTCACCCTGTGGAAGTTACTCAGCACGCCTGTTTCCTTCCTCCCCTCTTGCTCCTCCCTCCCTGCTAGCTCTCTCTCTTTTCTCTCCTTCTCCCCTGCACCTTGGGAGGCAGGAGACCCACCTGGTTGTGCTGGTAAGTAGAAGTGGGGTGAAAGGGACAGGGCTGGGCTGGGGAAGGTTGCTGAGCCAGCCATGCCATACCTTGTGGGGCCAGCCATGCCCAGGTGCCTCTGCACGCAGGACCTTGGGCCTTTCCAAGAGGTGCACAGGACTGGACCATGCTGTTCCCACAGGAGGATGACGAGTGTGCCCCGTGCCCAGTAGAGGATGACCTGGCTCTGCAGGACAATGGATTCCTAAGCAAGAATGACGTGCTGCGCAGCAAAGTGTCACGGCTCACAGAGCGACTCCGCAAGCGTTATCCCACCAACAACTTTGGTACGGTGGGGAAGTAGACTACAGGTGGGGATGTATGACTGGGACTGATGGGACTGTAGGGAGGAGGGCGCATCTGGGCTGCAGGGACAGAGTTTGGGAATTGTGGACTCTGACTTGTGACAAGAGCAAAGAGTAAAGATGTCCTTAGGAACCTTGGGAAATGAGCACATGTCCTGTGAAGGTGTAGAAGGAGTGAGTGTGGGTCCCTTATCTCTCTTTTGTTACTGAATATTAGCTGACAGGAAGACAAGGCACTCATTGTGGGCCCAGATTGAGCCAGTCTAGGACTGCAGAGAAACTGTGATCCTAAGGCAGCAGAGCTCCACTGCTGCACATACTAACTCAGCCTGGAGTCCTTGGGAAAATATGCCTCAGGTTCCCCTTCTGTAAAAGGAGAGATTCTTTTGTTTTTGTTTAAAGACAGGGTCTCCCAATAACTGGCCTAGAACTTGCCATGTAGACCAGGCTGAAGTTGATCTCACAGAGGTCTGCCTGCCTCTGCCTCCTGAGTGCTAGGACTACAGACATGTGCCACCACACCCAGCAGGAGAGAGTAGTTCTTAATGGGTTGTGTGGATATCATGTGATAGTACATGCTAAGGGCTAGCATGGCACCTGGCTAGTTTTTAGTAACTGACTGCTGTTCATGTGGGAACCTATCTGGAACTTTGTGATCCAGCTAGTTGGAGTAAAGTGTATCTTCCTCTGGGCATAGTAGATTCCAGAGATCACTTCCCAGCCAAGTTTGTAGTTTGGTTAGTTCTTATTTTCCTGGGGTCGTGGGTGGGTCAAGGAAAGAGCTTCATGGGTAGACTTGATTGTGAGTGCAGCTTGGGAACCTGGCCTGGATCTGGAGCCCTGGGGACAGAGCCAGATAAAGTCCTGGTGAGAGCTGAGTGTAGCAGGTGACTGAGAGTAACTGGTGACCAGGAGCTACTGTGGTCTCTGAACTATGTGTTCTGGTATGTAATGAGCTCCAGATCTGGAATGGGGGAAGAGAGGGGAAAGCCCTGAACTTTAGGAATTGGACTGGGGCTTCTGAAACCTGCCTTTCTGCCCCTTGCAGGGTGATTGTTTTCTCAGGATTAGAGTTCTAGACCTACTTTGTGTGGATGTCCCTTGGCATTCAAGATCCCTTTTTTCTGTGCCAACTGCTGGCTTCTGTTAGTGCTCTGGGTTCAAGGCCCTTTCATATGCACAGTCTCATTTCACATGGTAGATGGGATGGGGCAAGCAGATCCTTGGCCCAGAAGCAGCCAGGTTCCAGACTTCCTAAGTAATACTACAAAGGTATTACTACTGCTGGTCTAGCAAGTGGTCTGCTTGTATTTGTGCATTTTTAAGAGGCATGAGAGGTTTCCATTTTGCAAATGGGTAACCTGAGGCTACCCAAGAACTTCATCTGGTAGGTGGAGCTGGGCCTCAGATACAGGTCATCTGATTCTACTGTCCTTTCTGCCTCATTGTTTTCCCTCTGATTTTCCTTTGCCCTGGTGTGTAGAAGTCCCTTGTTTTAAGTCAGTCCTGTCTTTGGACTTAGTTTTTGGTTCAGATATTCCCTACCTAGATGGGGCCAGGCCATGCAGGTATCTTTAGGCTGGCAATGGCAGAAGGTGCTTCTTTCTCTGAGCCCTTCCTGGCTCCTCATCCTTCTAGACTACTCATGTCCTTCTGCAGATATGACCTGTCTCTGCTTTGAGGTCAGAAGTGGCAGCTCTTTTCCCAAGGTGTCAGCCCGTGGGTCAAAGTCCCCAGGTTAGGCTGACATAGGCTGCTTTAGGGGGTTCTCTTCAACCCTCCAGGCTGCTGTAAGAAAATACAGTAAGCTGGGTGGTTTACAAACAACTGAAATTTATTCCCTACCATTGTGGAGGTTGAGAGTCTAAGATCAGGGTGCCAGGAGTGGGTTCTGGTGATGGCCTTCTTGCTGCCTCCTCAGATGTAGGTGGGACAAGGCAGTTGTCCAGGGCCTCCATTATAAGAACACTGTTCCCATTCATGAGTGCTCTGCCAGTTGCCTCCCAAAGGCCCTACCTTGTAATACCATCGTTTGGGGATTAGGACTTACTATATGAAATTTAAGTGATTATACTGGAAGCTCTTCCATTCTGGCTGTTAGTGGATGAGGAGAGCATATGGGAAGGGCTGAGGAACTTCACTGGGAACTTCTCTGTGGTTTCTACTACATGGGAGAGTCTGGGAGGAGAGGGTCCAGAGCATCCTCACCTTCCCTGTCCTGGAGACCACATCACCATTGCCTTGAGAGGCCCCAGGGAGCCTTAGGCTCCCCTGATTCTGTCTTCATGGCAGAGTCACATATTCAGTCAGGATGGGAGAATGTGAGAGTGAGGGACTTTGCTAAGAGTAGGCAGAAAGAGTGGATGGGTTCTAGAGGAACAGGACTATACTCTGTTACCTGTGTCAGGTGACAGCTCTCAGCCCTCCTTGACCCCAGTGTGCATGTGTACACAGCTTTCTCACTGGACTATGTAGCTGCTGTTGGGTGTTTGGCCCTGGCTCTGCAGATCTAATTCAGAGGAATTCTTGGACTTGGGCCTGAGTGTCAGTCTTCCAGTGGCTTTTTTCCCTGTTCCATTGTCCTGCCCCCCCGAGGGGCGATAGAGCAGGCTGCTTTCCCCTATTCTTGGTGAAGGAGCCAGAGTCTGGGAGCACCCTCTTTCTTGGACCACCAGCAGGCATGGGCTTTATTCTTCTCTCTCTTTCTTCTTTCTGTGCTGTTAGCTAACCAATAGCAAGGTGTTGTCTGCCTTGGTTCCCCTAGCTCTAGTCTTCCTTGATCTCAGGGAGGAGCCTTTAGCGTGAGCTATGGATGATCCTGGCTGGACAGAGCAAGGAACTGCATGGAGGTTTGGGGCTCTTGTGTGAAGGTGAGGCCTGGCTTGGCCAGATATGTGACTCAGGAGGCATAGTAGTGTCCTCTGATGGAGATTCCTGCCCTGGCCAGATCATAGGGACCCCACACCCCAGAAACTTCCTCCTTCCCCATCCTTCATCTCCGTATACCCCACCCCTTGACTCTGCCAGCTGTCTTCTCAGCTGCTGTTGGCTGCTCTGCCTTCTGAAGCTCTGTTGTCTTGTCATCTCTGGTTGTTTAGGCAAGTTTGTGCTCCTGCTTGCCAAACTCTTGGTGCTCGAGCACTTTACCCTTTCTTCTTGGAAGGTTTCTGGTTCCCAGCTTCTCTCTTGGAATCTGATGACGGAAAGTAGGAGCACATATTTCTTGGAGGCCTCTCTGTCCCACAGCTGTGGGCAGTTGTGTATAAGGAGACATTGGGAAAAGGTCTCGTCTATAGGCCTCATGGTCTCTGCCCACTTGGCTAGATTCCAGGGAGGAGAAGCTCTGGGCGCTTCCTGATTTCTGCCAACCCTGCAAATATGGCCACTCAGTGCTGGGAGGGCACAAGCTAGAGCTGTGGGTGGCCTGGGGACAGCTCCTAGCAGCGGGCAGCTTTCCTTCCTGCTCTGAATCTAGACCTTGCTCTACTTCCTGTACCCAGCTGGATTGGGCTAGGCTGGTCCCAGATAGTCGGGAGCAGTGAAGGCTGAGCAGCCTCTGCTGGGTCATAGCTGAGCTACTGCCTCTTTTTCTTAGGGAACTGTACGGGCTGCTCTGCCACTTTCTCAGTGCTAAAGAAGAGGGTAAGTCTGGTATTTGCTGGGGACAATGTGTTTGTGTCCATGGGTTATTTGGGATTTGAGAGGTGTCATTAATGAAGCCTGACTCCTCAGGTCACAGGGCTGGTGCCCATGTTTTGCTAAGGAGAGTGTGTTTTCCCTGCCCCATGCTCACACCTTCACCAGCCTTCTGTTGAATGTTCTGTCTTATCTCACTCCTACTCCACCTAGGCAACTCTCCAGTCCTATAGGATTGGATGGTAGACGGGAGGGAGGAGTTGGGTGTTCCAAGTGCCTGAGAGTGGGTTCCATTTGACACTGACTTTGGTTCTTGTTTGTAGCGGAGCTGCAGTAATTGTGGGAACAGCTTCTGCTCTCGGTGCTGCTCCTTCAAGGTGCCCAAGTCCTCCATGGGGGCCACAGGTAAGAGGGTGTGAGCAGTGGTTCAGGGCAGGGGACTTGAGGAGAGGCTGCATTGTGAGAAAGGAGTGAGGGCATCCTGCACAGAGCAGGGCAACCTTTCAGGCTTCCTTTCCTGGAGAACACCTGGTTGAATCTCATTTTCATTACCATGGTAACATTTTTTAAAAGAATAAAATACATTGTTTATTAGTACTTAGAAAAAAACCACAGAAATAAACAATGGAAAACAGAAATAAACAATGAAAAACCTAATTTGAAATTCAGATTTCCCAGTAAGGTAACAGCCCCCTCGGTAACATATTCAACAAATCAAAATCATTTTTCCTCCTTTCCTCAAAGCCCTACATGTTTGTTGTAAATATAACAGGAGGAGCTAGAGGAGGAAAAGTACTCCCCATGTGTCCTAGGCAGTATGCTTGGATGTGGCCTGCCTGTTGTTGGCATGCAGGTAGCACAACTCTGCATACATGTTTTTGGAAATTGTGATCATGTTTCACTTACTACCTTGTGATGTGTTGCAGTGTTGGACCAAGTTTTTTTTTTTTTTTTTCCTTCTGATCTTAGTTAACTAGAAGATTTGGAAATTGCTATATAGAAGAAAGGAAGAGAAAAGTAATACTGTAATCTTACCACCCAAAGATTTTTAACCACTGTTAAAACGTTTTGGGAAATTTTCCTCTGGTATTTTATTTAAAAAAAAAGTTTTTAAAAGGTTTTCTGTTGATGCCAGAAGAATTTCTAATGCAGAGAACACCTGGGAGAGCCTGCCATTGGCATTGTCACTCCAGAGCCCCCAGCTTTCCAGCATGTGTGAGGGCAGGGTGTGAGCTGGGCCTGGGAGGATGTGTTGGCTGGGCCGTGGGTGGTCTGTCTAGGGGCTGTGGAGGCTGATTCAGTACTTGGCGCCTTGAGCTAAAGGGCACAAAAAACTGTCTCACCACCTTCTTTTTCCTTTCCAGCTCCTGAAGCCCAGAGAGAGACTGTGTTTGTGTGTGCCTCATGTAACCAGACCTTGAGCAAGTGAGAGAGAGGCCCAAGCTCCAACTGGCAGCAGTCCTGGGGCCAGCAGTAGATCCCACTTTTCCTACCCCTACCCCCCTGAGGCGTGTGCTGGGCAAATGTGGCCTAAATGCTAGGTAGGCTTCCTGTCCTTTCCCTGCTGCCTCCAGCTGAGCTGGTGATGCTCAAACACCTGAGGGGAGAGGAGCTCCTGAGACCCTGGCTGTCTGCTCTGCTCTGCTCCATGCCCTCTGGACTCAGGGGTGTCCAGGGAGTACCCACCAGAGGGCAGAACTGACCTAGGCCTGCTGTCAGCTGGACTCTGATGGTCAAGGCCAGTCTTGGCCAGGCCTAGGGATCCTGGAGACCTCAGGTTAGGAAAAGAGGTTTTTCCTCGTGTTGGGTACTGGACAGTCTCTCAGCCTCAGAGGGCTGCAGAAGGGCTTATAGCACTATGCCCTAATTCTGCCCTTTGAATGTCCCTTCTTCAGGATATATGTCCCCATCAGAGTTTGTAGGCATGAGGACTCTAGACACAGGATTGGAGTTCCCAAGTCCCCAGAGGAGAGTGTGCTGGTCAGGTCCTTTAGTGCCAAGTGGATGGCAGCATGGGGAAGTTCCATCTTGCAGAGTCTTAGTGCCCATGATGCTCTCATGTCTTCAGCCCCTTCCCTGGGGTAGCCACAGGACCTTCAGATCACTCCTGCTCCTCTTGTCCTGAGTCAGGGCACCCCACTTCTTACCCAGTGTCACCTCTCCCTTCCCCAGCCCTTGTTCTACAGAGTGAGACCAGGTTAGAGGACCAGAGGTCCTAAAGCCCTTGACCTTTGAGGTCCCGGGAAGTGTAGGACCTTGCTGGGCTGCCTCCTAGAGTCCAGGCTATTCCTGGAGAGAAGTGTCCATTATGGGGCAGGGCCACTTGGTCAATTTTATGTTCTCTCTGAACTCTGAGGGGCCCAGTGTCTCTTCCTAAGCTGTGAGCTGGCTCGGGCCTCCCTCCTTAGCTGCCCTGCCCTTTAAAAGTATTTATTTATTTATTTCATTGTTCTTGGGAACACACAGCACAGGAGTGGGGTGGAGAGGATGAGGGGCTTCTCCTACCTTGGACCCTTCCCTAGAGTCACGGGCTGCCCTTGGGGCCCACGGGTTGCCTGGTACATGCCACAGTAGCAGTGGAGACATTTCTGCTGCCTAACCAGGGACTCGGGTGGAAGTTGGGTGTGGGACAAGTGAGCTGTCTGAGGCCCTTGTTACTGCTAGGCCACACAGAGCAGTGAGGGTTTGGCAGCAGAGACCTGGCAGGCCTGAGCACCCCTTTGTCCTGGTAGGAGAGGCGGGTTACTTTGTCTGTGCTTAGTAACCTTGGAGAGCAGTGGAAAGGAGCTCTGGATGGAGAATTGTCAATAAAAGGCCCCAAGCTTATGCTTTTGTCCTGTCTTTGTGCCAACACTCTCCAGTTCCAGGTCTTCAGTACTGTAGTCTTGCCATGGACGTGGCTGTGGGGTGGGCTTTTGCATACCTTCTGTGGCAGTTTGTGTGCTACAGCCTTGTCTGTGAGGGAGCCAGGCCCAGGGGAAAGCTGTGCCTTATAAGTAGGAGGGGCTTAGCACATGCTGGTATTTTGACTCAAGTCCTCAAGCCTTTGTCTTGAGGACCTGTGGCCTGGATTAAGTTTGGGACCAGAATTTGAGAACCCTGAACAATGGCAGGCTTTAGGGTGGAAAGGTTTAAGATAATCCCTCTGAGAAAGCCAGAAAAGGGTCAGTATAGGAGGCTGAGAGTGGCAGGAAAGGTTGCCTGGGAGGTTTGAGTTGCAAGCCTGTCCTGTGAGCTGGGCTGGACTGGGTGGTCACTGGGTACTAGTTACTGTGGCAGGCACTTTGCACACATTATCTTAGTGCTGGCAGTAAGCCTGTGAGATAGGCACTCTTCTTCCCCAAGTTAGAGTAGTAGTGCTCAGCAGAAGTGCTGGTCAACTCTAAGTCCAGCTCTACCTTACTGTGTACTTCCTCTTTGCTGAAGCAGCAGGAGTGAGCTGCCCTGGTCTTTTGGTGTTGGCTGTCATCTGTGAAGTGCTGTGTGGATTATTTGAGACCCGTGAGGCCTGGAGCATGGCACCTGGTACACCTTAAGCACTCAGTGGACATGAACTCCATATTGTCATCCTGATAGCTTTCAGACAGAACACGTAGCTCTGCCTTACGTGGCTTACAATAGTGATTTTTTTTTCTTTCTCTTTTAAGCTAGAGAATAATTTTAGACCATTTTTTGGAGAAGAGTGTTAGGGACAGCTGTGAGAATAGTTTGATAGTTGATGTGAGAACCATGCTTACTGTTGATGAAAGGTGCCTGTTGCAGCAGGCGCCCTAGGGTGTGGTCACAGGGGAAAAATGGGGTTTCCCTTGGGGCTCAGTAGCCTTCTTGTCTCTGAAAGGCCCTAGCGAGAGCAGGCAAGAGTCTACTCTTTTTTGCTTTCTGAGGGTCTCCTTGTAGCCCCAGCTGTCCTGGAACTCACTGTGTAGACCAGGCTGGCCTTGAACTCACAGAGATCCTCCTGCCTCTACCTCCCGAGTGCTGGGATTAAAGGTGTGTGCCACCATGTCCAGCTGCAAGGGTCTTATTTTTAAAGTTCAGGTTCCACTCGGAGAACAAAGCTACCAGTCCTCAGCAGGAGGGACTGTTGATGTTTTACCTGGACTGGGGACCACAGTGAGAGTCGCAACATAGGATGACAGACAAACTGTTCTTTGTGGAAGTGGATGTCTGCATTAAAAGATGTTTGTTAGTTTGATCTTGGGCATCCAGAGATGAGGGACAGGTAGCTAGCTCTGCTACAGTCCTGGCATCTGGCCCCCAGCCTGGCTTGGGCTCAGGGTTCTGTTTGTGGTCTGGTTGTGTTGATACCTCTTGAAAGCCCTGGGAAACCTTGAACCTGTGATGACTTTGGGGTCTTCTGTGGGTCTTGGGGCTGAGGCCACGTGACACTCCATTTTCATCCCCTCTCCAGTGGCCTGATTCCCGTGTCTGCCAACAGCTGGCCACGTTCACAGAACCCTTGTGCTAGGAGCATGCATGGCCAATATCTCATTTTAACTTCCCACAGCCCCACAGCTAGGTTCTGCTGTCACCTAATTGGTATTTTAAGGGGGTAGATGGAGGCATAGGGAGGTTAACCCACTCAGAGTGGGATGGGAATTGTGCCGCAGGTGTTCATAGAGGTCATGGTATAAGGAGCTTTGGGTGAAGGTCATACTCTGGACAGCCCCCTTGCATTCTGCCTGGTCACCACTCTCTCAGGAGTTAGCCACTGAGCTAATAAGAAGGGCCTGCCCACCAAGCACTACCCCCCAGCAGAACAGAGATGGCCTTGTGGGAGCCCCCACCTTCTCCAGCTCCCTGTGACTCCCCACCTCCTGCCAGCTGCACCCTGAGCAGCACATTCCATTCTCTGGCACCACTGGGTGCTGGGGATTCTGGGTTCCCTTGGCTGCCAGACTTCTACAGAGCCTGCTGTCTAGGCCGGGACACTGGGTCCCAGCCACACACATTCCAGCAGCAGCCACCCCCCACTTTAGATTTCCCCAAGAATGAACTTTAGCCAGGATTACAGCTGGCTGTACAGTTGTAGGATGTGAGCTTGCTTTGTGGAGACTCGAGGCTGGATGAGAGAAGAGGAGTGGGTGGGACGGGCTGGGTCCTCTGCCTCTGCCCTGGCCCTTGCAATGGCAGTGAAGCAGGCTCCTGGAGCCTTCATGGCTGCCTTCATTTATCCTGACTTCACCTCTATAGATAGTAGTGTATGAAGTCGTCAGCTTTTTAGACTGTAGGTCACCTGTCTGCATGGAGTCCTGTGACTGAATGTGGGTCATGACAAGTTTGGTAACAGTAAAGGGTTTCTGAACACTCAGCAACCAAAAATTAATTTTAAATCAAACTTGTAATGAATCTCAGGAATTTTGGAGCCCCTCCTAGGCTGCATGGACTTCACTGGAGCCTTGGTTCTGGCTACTACATGTACCCTTTGCACTGTGCCCACCATCAGGCACACTGCTCAAGACTGAGTGAAACACCCCAGTGTGGATTTAGGACTGTTGTGTGTTATGAACTACAGTGTTTTCACTCTACATCCGGTTTCTGCTCTTAACAGAAACAATGGTTTACAGAAAATGAAGACTTAGCATTTCTCTACCATCATTCCTCAGCGTGTATCAAATTAGTATATCTTTGGGTGGTATTGTGGTAGAATGTTTAATTTTAAAAATTGCTGTTTGTGGCTGGCAAGATGGCTCAGTGGGTAAAAGTGATAGCCACACAAGCCTGACAGCCTGATTTCCTAGACCCTATGTAAAAAAAGCTGAATGTGGGCTCGAGGAATGGCTCAGCGGTTAAGAACACTTGACTGTTCTTGCAGAAGACCCGAGTTCAAATTCCAGCACCCACATGGAAGCTAACAACTGTCCGTAACTCCAGTTCCAGGGGATCTGACAACCTCTTCTGTCCTTCTCGGGCATTGCATGACACGGGTGCACTTACCTACATGCAGGCTTAACACTTATACACATAAAATAATAAATATTAAAAAAAAAACTGAATGCAGCTGGGTGTGGTGGTGTACATCTTTAATCCCAGCACTTGGGAGGCAGAGGCAGGCAGATCTCTGAAATTGAGGCCAACCTGGCCTACATCGCAAGTTCCACAGATGGGGCTACAGGGAGACTGTGTCTCAAAAAACAACAAAACAGAAAAGCTGGATGCAGTGGCATGCACTTGCAATCTCAGCACTCCATCACCAAGAGAATTACTCTGGATATGCGGCATGGCAGGAACTCCAGAAGACCCTGCCTCAGCAAGGTAGAAGGAGAGAATGAACACCTGACCACCACATGCACCCATAATATGCACATGCATGCCCCCCTCCAAAATACTGTTTGAATTGCTGACTTGAGTTTCATTAAAAAAAAAAGTTATTCAGTGAATTTTGGCTTGGAATTGGGGTTGGAATACAATTTCAAGCAATTTCTGAAATGTTACCAAACATACTTCTGCCTTTTGTACTATGTATATATTAAAAACAATGTTCTCACAGCCGGGCATGGTGGCACATGCCTTTAATCCCAGCACTTGGGAGGCAGAGGCAGGCTGATCTCTGTGAGTTTGAGGCCAGCCTGGTCTACATAGCAAGTTCCAGGCCAGCTGGGGCTATAGGGAAACCCTGTCTCAAAAAGAACCCCCCCCCCAAAAAAAGTGTTCTCAGCATTGATGATTATAAAATCAAACACTAATCATCTCTGAAAAATAGTAAAAATGCTCTACATCCTACAATATCAAATATTCAGCCAGGGTTTAATTCCTCATTTAAAAATAAGCACATCTATGTCAAATTGCTTTCATCTATTTAATTTTTTAATATTTATATGTATGAATATATTGCCTGCATTAAAGTACCCTGTGTCATGCAATGCTTATGGAGGTCAGAAGAGGGCATCAGATCCTCTGGAACTGGAGTTACTGATGGTTGTTAGCTGCCATATGGGTGCTGGGAACTGAACCTGGGTCCTCTGCTAGAGAGGCCAGTACTCTTGTACTCTTAACTGCTGAGCCACCTCTCTATCCCCTGCTTTCATCTTTAAAATATTTTATTTTATTTTACATATATGAGTGTATTGCCTGCATGTATGTGAGTGCACCCATGTCGTACAGTGCTACGGAGGTCAGAAGAGGGCTTGGATTCCCCTAGAACTGGAATTGAGGACGGTTCATAGCTGCCATGTGGGTGCTGGGAATCGAACCCGGGTCCTCTGCAAGAGCAGTCAGTGCTCTTAACCGCTGAGCCATCTCTTCAGCCCAGCTCCTACTTTCATCTTTAATAAGTGGTATGTGTACACTAAAGAATTGCTTTAGAATGGTCAATTTATATACCTACTTTAGATCTATATCCCTGAGGCTGAATAAAAATTTCTTGAGTGAGAAGAGGTGAATGGAAAGAGTTTAAGGAGGCCTGGCATAGTGGTTAATAGTTTTGAGTTCAAATCTAGCACTATTATGTATGCTATGTGATCTTAACTGAGCTACTATCTCAAATGGATGTTGAAAGGCTTAAATTAGAATGTGAAAGTGTTCTGAGTTGCTGCTCACCATGACTTTGACACTAGTATTGGCTGTCTTTTCCCCACTATTGGCTTATATATCACTTAGGGGGTGTAGCTCTGGAGCCAACTCCCTAATTTGGCTTTTAGGTAAGACACTCCTGTCTTTCTCTGCTTCCCTGTCAGTCAGGTATCTAAGTGGATTAACGAATCAATTAGGAATATTACTGAGCACCTACTATGTGTAGGCATTACTAGGTCATGATTACTAAATACAAATAACTACTTAATGATCAACTTCAAACGCTGCATTGTATCCAGGCACTTGTCCTGCATTTGACAGGTAGCACCCAGCTGCCCTGGGGAGGAGGCATTGTTCTCAGTCCCTTAGCCACCAGGGTTTGGGATTGGAGGCCAGGACTGGGCTTCTCACTCCCACTCAGTACAATCCCTGCCCAAGTCCCTCCTGGTTTTATGTTAGGACTTAGTATATACCCAGCTGAAAAATTCGACTTCCTCTGTTCTCTTGCAGCTAGGGGGTAGTCATGTGACTTAGTCCTGGCCATGAGCTGGAAGTGGAAATGTACCAGGTAGGCCTGGTTGGGGATTACTGTTTTCCTACTCAGGAGGGCACTCACTGACTGACGTGATTTTCCTGCCCACTCTTCCTGGTCTTGCTGGAATTGGTGGAGGAATTAGGAAGAAGCCTGTCTTGTAACCTCAACTGCAAGAAATCTGGAGTCACCCCCCCCCAACACACACTTGCCTACTTTTAGACCTTTTGTGTGGAGACACCCTATGTGTCTTGGGGGTTCAGCTCTGTTCACATGGTTAGAGCCCCCCCCCCCCCCCCCCCTTTACTGGTCCCTGAGCTCAGGTGTGTACTCTTGCCAACTGGGAAGGAGATCAGTGTAGCCAGGTTGGTGAGTGAAGGAAGTGTGGGCTTGGGCCTTATAGAGCCTCCTTGGTCTCTGGGAGAATTCCTCTTGGTTCCAGATGAGATTCCAGGCAGATGTGAGGGGAAAGAGCAGGTAGAGAACAGGGCCAGGGCTCTTTGTGGTGTGCTGAGGAGGGCCTTCCTGGGCTTCATGGAATGGGATGAGGGAGCCCTCTCCCACCACCACTCCCTGCTGCCAACACCTGACAGAGGTCAGCATTGTACTTCAGCCAGAGGTGGTCTGAGGCCTGTGTGCTCCGTGGAAAAAAAAAAAATTCCTGTGTCTGGTGGACCAGAGAAGTGCCTGTAAATATTTGGTCAGAGTAGAAGGTTGGGAGACAAGGGGCAGATTCAGGGAGCCGGGCAGGCTGGGCAGGGTTTGGGCAGGGTGGGTGGCAGCGACTTCCTCTGAGGAGAAACAAGTTCTCTGCAGCTCAGGGCCTGGGCAGAGGCCACTTACTGCCCAGGGCTGATTTATGGGCAGGTGGTCAGGTCACCTGTTAGTGAGGCCTTGGGGGAAAGCAGTTCAACAGGCCCACATTAGACTCCACCGAGGGCCTTTCTGGTCATGTTGCCTTCCCTATTTGAGTCAGGTGACATTTCTCCAAGGTGGCACACTCCCCCAGTGCTGTGAAAGCTGGGGTTTCCCCCACCTTGGTGGTTCTTTTATTTTGGAGGAGTTAGCAGGTCTTGAACCCACACGGAGCTCCTTTCAAATGCTGGCCATCTGCCTGGCAGTGCTCACTCACCTGCATTTCAAGCCTTCTCCCCTCCCTGCACTGGGTGCACCTTAAGGCACCCACCCTCTCTCTGTCCCTTCCCCTGTGGCTTGGTCCTGTGGTGACTTGCCCTTGCATGCTACTGATTTCCCATGCCTTCTAAAGGCTCTGCTTTCATTCCATGGGGTGGGGCCCAGTATTTGATAAAAGCTCCCAGAGGATTAAAGTTTTTGGGTTAAAATGCAGATTCTTGGGGCTGGAGAGAGGGCTCAGTGGTTAAGAGCACTGGCTGCTTAACCCAAGTTCAAATTCCAGCACTTACATGGTGGCCAACAATCATCTATAATTCCAGTTCAGGGAGTCTGACGCCCTCTTCTGGCCTCCATGGGCATTGCACAACATGGATACACTTTTATACATGCAGGCAGAGCACTCATATACGTAACAAGAAAAATGCAGATTCTTAGATTTGATCCCCAGTACCAGTCAAAAAACAAAAATTTGTTTCTGTTATAGAAAGTTTGAGTGGGGCCTACGTGTTTGAATTCCCAGGCAAATACTCTATCTTTGAGTGAGAGGCAGCCCCAGCCCTCCAAGATTCTGTGTTCCTAACCAGTTCCCGGTGCTGCTACTGGTGGTGTGGCCAGGAGCATGCTTAGTGTCTGTCTAAGGCATCTGTCACTTAACAGGTCAGGACCAGTGCTCAGGAGTGCCTGAAAACCCCAGGGGAGAAGTGACATAGTTCCCTGTGGCCTGCCCTTCTTGGACCCTTCCAGTTAGGCACTGCCTGAAGGGGGACTGCATGGTTGGGAGTCCTGTGATTGTGGGAACAGCTGAAGAACTTGGCTCTTCTGTCCCTCCTCAGAGACAAAATGGTCTCCATTTCTCACTTAATGGTTGGGATGTGAGGGTAACCCTCACCATGTGTTCTTGGGGAACATTGCTTTTCTTGGGTCTTCCAAAGGGGTCAGTGGACCAGGCCTTCTGTTATAATATCCTTTTGGGGCTGGAGATCTGGCTTTGCAGTTAAGAGCACTGGCTACTCTTATAGAAGACCTGGGTTCAGTTCCCAGCACCCACACAGAGGCTAACAACCATCCATAATTCTAGTTCCAGGGGATCTGATGCACTCTTCCGACGTCCATGGGCATTGCATGACACATACATGCAGACAAAATATTCATACACGTAAAAGTAAAGAGAAAGAATATGGGCCTCTTGCTAAAAGTGCTCTGAAGCTCCTTAGCCCCTGGCTTCTTTAGTACTAGAGGATAAAGAAGTCACCTGGTCCAACCCAACCTTTGTTTTCTTTTATTTAATTAAAAACTTAAAAAAAATTAAGAACCAACCCCATTATCTAGAACTGATGGCCTCACAGCAGTAGCAATAATTTATTATCATCAGGACCAAAGGAAGTGGGAAGCTGAGGCAAGGGCCAGGAAGTGAGGCTTTGTGAGAGCATCTGTAGAGGCTGCTGGGCCTGCACTCCAGTCTAGCAGGGCTCTAGACAGGGGAAGAGGGTATGGCTGTTGGGCACAGAGGCCTTGATTCCTGTTTTTTGGAGGACTGTGGTAACACAGAAAGGGGCAGTGGGGGAGGAGAACTGTCCTCTAAACACTGAGATCTCTCTCAAAGGCAAGGCCTACTATCCACTCTGGAAACATCCTCTCCCTAGGTGAGCCCTGCATCCTTCCCTCATGGACTCCTCCCTCTGCCCACTTTCTCAGACACTAGGGCTTCCCCTAGAAGTGAAAGTCCTTTTGAGAGAGGGAGCCCCAGGTCCCAGAATTCCAGGACCCCTTAGTTGGGGAGTGCAGCCTCAGGCCCCATACCCAACCTTTGGGGCCTGCGCCAGTATTAACCACTTGAAGCCATCTTTGCCATGGTCTGGGTCAGCCTGGGAGTCAGGGCAAGGCCAAGTGGGCAGGGACAAAGGGCAAGGCACAGCTGGCTGGCTGGGGCAGGGAAGAGGGCCTTTCAGTGGGGTTCAGCTGCCCCATAGAAGAAGGGATAGTAGAGGGAGCAGGGGTAAGAGAACCTGAACTTGACTGCGAACTTCATTTCCTTATTTTTCTTGTCCCAGCGGTAGACAGCCATGAGCAGCAGCTGTCCCTCCACTTTTCGGCCCATGACCAGGAAGCTGCCCGTCAAGCTGTCCAGCTGTGGGCAGGGGCAGCCTGCACCATTCTTCATGTGCAGGACCAGCCTCTTGGTGTCCTTACGCTTCAGGGGGCCTGGCTTGAGCAGTTTCTTCTTCTTCTGGGCCCCAATCAACTTTCGGTCCCCGTTCTCTATCTTGATCTCCTTGATGCGCATCTTGACCACTGTGGGAAGGTGGGCATGGGGTGGTCTGAGAAGGAATCAGGTCTCAGGATGGTAGGGGCTCTAGGTTGGTACCAGGATGTTCTCAGGGAACCTGATGCAGTGTAGAGGTTGGATGGCAGGGCTCATGAGGTCACTGTAATGTTTACAAAGCTCCTATGGGCTGGACTTTCAGCCTCAAAATAGAGTAGGGAGACATGGGGGTATGTCCTACCTGAGTTATGGAGCCTGGATCCAATTAAAACTGTTCAGTTTTAGAGCCAGAACTTTCTGTGACATCAAATGCAGGGTGGTGAGCTCTCTAGTGAGAGGATGGGAGGCTGGCTAGAGGATATCTTTATAATGCAGGGGTACTGAATTCTGCCATCTCATAGAGATTCTGGTAGGATTTCTAGCGCTCTCTCTCTCTCTCTCTCTCTCTCTCTCTCTCTCTCTCTCTCTCTCTCTCTCTCTCTCTCTCTCTCTCTCTCTCTCTCTGTGATTGGGTAGAGTGGTGGTGGGTGGACTGTTAATATTTAGCAGCCAGCTCTGGGGAGGAGTCCTGCTCTGTAGCACTTTCTCACATCCATTGGCTGGCCATGCCATTGAGCACAGAATTGGGAAAGATTCCCACAGAGCAGCCCTGTGCAAACCCACCATATAATGTAAGTGTGTGGGTGTGATCATGTAGTGCAGGCACAGTACATATGTGGTATGTTTGTGTGGAAGTATGTTGTGGTATAGCTAGGAGTGTGAGTGTTTAGGATGGGGAGGTGAAGGCTGGGCCCTTGGCTTGAGTCATGGCCCAGGTCACAGATGGTCACAGAGATCCAATACAGCTGGGGACAAGGAATTGTGAGTTAGGGGTAGGGACCCTCTGGCTAGCCCCACTTCCCTTAAACAATGGATCTCCATCTCTCAAGAAATCAGAGAATGGGGCTGGAGAGATGGCTTAGTGGTTAAGAGCACTGGTCTTGCAGAGGCCCAGGGTTTGGTTCCCACCACCCACATAGTGGCTAACAACCATCAGTGACTCCAGTTTCAGCGGATTCAGTGCCCTCTTCTGACATCCGTGGCATTACATGACATGGGTGCATTTACATGCAGACAATACACTCATACATATAAAAATACTTTTGTAAAAAGCCAGAGAATAACTTTGTCTACTCAGGGAAGAATATTGTCCTAAAACCTCTTTTCTCCTCTTCCTCTCCCCTCTCTACACCCACATCTCTGCAATATAGCAGTATTTTCTTTCCAAAGAGGCTACCAAAGACTCCTCTGAAGTAAGATTTAATTATTGCCCTATTTTCCTATTTTTATAGACAAGAAGGCTAGGATACAAAACAGAACCAACTTTGTAAAGATCACATGCAGAACTTTGTAGTTCATGTGTGAGCTTGGTCATAACTAGAGTGTGTTCAGTTGTCTCAGTATGGGAAGGTTCCAGAATGAAGCTGTGGGGAAAGCTGGCCACAGCCCACTGTGACCAGAGATACCCTGGGTACTCAGCAGAGATGCCCAGAGAAGAGAGGCTCCACTTCCTTCCTGGAGTCCCTGTATCCTGTGAGGACTCCCTGCATTCCCCGCCGCCATACCCCCACAAAAAAAAGACAGCCCAGCCATGGAGGCACTTCTGTGAACAGTGCCAAGGGACAGCCGCAGGAGCCCTGATCAGGCAGGGCTGATTCTGAGCCCATGGACCATGGTCAAGAGGGCCTTCTGAAGCCCTGAAATGATGTATAGAAAGATGCATTTTTCTTGGGAGAGGGCTTGTGCTTATCATTAGATTCTCAGAGGGGAGGATGATGCCAAAACTGATGGGTGTGGGTACATGTGTATCTAGGCTGCTGGGGGCAGTGTCAGGACTATGGCTCTGTGAGCCCGCACTCACCAAAGTCACTGGAGCACATCTGTTCCATGAGGCCATCAGCACTGTGCTCCATCTCACACTGGGCGCAAATCTTGGTTACTGAAGAGAGAAGGCGGGGTGTGGTGGGGAGTGGTTAGTGAGTGAAGTCCAAACAACCACTATAGTACAGGCTTTTCTAGTGACCTTCCCCCCCAAAAGCCATTCTAATTCCTCATTAGGAAATGGAATAATGACAGTGATACCAGTACCTACTACGCACTGAGTGATTGCGACAATCCAGGAGATGATATTGTACAGGGACAATACTGTGAGGTAGGCAGTTGCCCCAGACAGCTACAATCATAACACACTGTCTTCTAAATTTTGTCCCATCTAATACTCAGCCTCTTAAGTGGATATTATTATTTCTATTTGACAGCAAAGTAAATTGATGCCCAGAGTGGTTAACTGAGTCTGCAAAACTCAGGACTCAGGATTGTGGCTCCCAGTCTAGGGCCAGGGTTGGGGTGTTCGCAGGAGCCAGGCACGTGGATAAAGAGCAGAGCCAGCATGGCTGGCACTCAACCTCTGGTTTCTCAAAGAAAGCTCAAACTGTTCATTTTTATGTGAACTATTTGAATTTTATCTGTTGACCACGCACACCTTTCCATAGTCTGCCATCCTGCCAGTCAGAACCTCCCCCCACGACCTTCCTTTAGCTTCTGTGTGTGTGCTTCCAGGTGGAAGTGCCTTCCTGGGAAAGGGACTCACAGGGGAGTAGCAGGGCATTCTGAGCCTAGGACTCCTGCGCTTCCCAATCTATTCATGTTGGGGTCCTAAAGAAACTGTAGAAGGAAGGGCCGGAGATGGCTCAGTGGTCAAGAGCCCAGACTTCTCATCCAGAGGACCTGAGTTCAGTTCCTAGCACCTCCATCACATTGCACACACTTGCCTGTAACTCCTTGGGGGCGGGTTCCCATGCTTCTGACCCTCGAGGGCACATGAATTCACCCATCCACTCACCATAATTAAAAACAAATCTCAAAAAACAATAAAAGCCAATAGAAAGAACCTGTGGGGACTTTGGAGGACTGTTTCCTTCTTGCTTAGCTGGCACTATCTGCTCACCTGTCACGTTTAGCCTCTAGGATAGCCGTCCCCCCCCCCGCCCCCCGGCCTGCCCCAAGGACCCCATGGAGAGGAATAGTATGAAGAAGAAAAGGGCCTCTAGGGTCTCCTAGGCAGGTAAGGGTAGTCTGGAGGTGGGTTGTGGGGTGGTACAGAAAAGGGCCCAGCTGTTTTGGGGAGACTGGAAAAGGCAGAAAAAAAGAGAGCAGTGCTTTGGGTATCCAGCCAAGGGAGCTCATGGGGGATCTTGGTCTCCTGTGTGAACTGCCCAGGCAAGGATTGCTTGCTGGAGGCCCCAAGTATCCTCCTGACTGGGATGCTAGGGGTGACTGGAAGGAGTTAGGCACGGTGGAGGAAGGAGGCGTGTGTGTGTGTTGGGGGGTGTTGGGGGGGCTGGGACCTTAAGTTTGGGACAGCTTTGAGGACCAGCACTGTAAGCACAATGGAAGGGAAGCTGAGACCAAAAAGGAATTAAGCATAATGCAGTAATGTCACCGGGTGCAGGTGGAAGCAGGGCTTGGGAGCTCACAGGTTCCTGAGGCTGGGACATTCACTGCTGGGAAATGAGGCTCAGAAAAGCTAAGCAAGTACTCAAAAGACCGTGGAGACGTTAGGGTTCTAGACATAGGAACAAGGGGAAATAGCCCAGGAGTCCTCTTAGTTCCCAGTTCTTCCCTAACCACCTCCCTTTCCAAAGTTCAACACGTGGGGGAGGGGTGATGCTTCTCTGGGCGCCCAAAGTTTAAGTGGAAGGCTTTGTTTAGCGACCTGGGCATTGTTGGGCTGAGGAAGGCAGTTTATGGGCACCCAGCTGCGGGGGGCATGAGGCGGAGGTGGGAATTGGACAGAACCAGTGGGAATTCCCACAGCAAGTTCATAAAGGTGGAAAGGAGGCAGGAGACAATTCCTGGGCGCTGGACTTTGGGGGTGGGGTGGTGTGGTGTGTGTTTCCTAAGACCATTTTTACATGAATTTTTCTGTCATTTTAGGTGTGTGTGTGTGTGTGTGTGTGTGTGTGTGTGTGTGTGTGTGTAGCTTTGCTGCTAAGGGATTGCAGGAAGACGCATCAATCCGACCCCGACGGGCGGTGGCGCTACCTGGAGGCGCGGTGGCAGGCAGGTGCCCGAACTGCACCGCGATGCAGAGGTCGTTGTCCAGGGGGAACTTGTGGCAGTGCAGCATCTCGGGCCAGGGAAAGCCGTAGGCCTCCATGAGCGGCGCGCAGCCGGCGCGCACGGCCTCGCATAGCGAGCGGCACGGGTAGATGGGCCGGTCCAGACAGACCGGCGCGAAGAGCGAGCAAAGGAAGACCTGCGTGTCCGAGTGGCAGCGCTTGGCCAGCAGCGGCAGCCAGCTGCTCGCCTGCTGCTTCACCTCGGCCAGGCTCTCGTGCTCCAGCAGGTTGGGTAGCCGCATGCGCTTGTAGCCCACCGTGTGGCAGAGCGGCAGGTCGGCGGGGATGTCGAGGCACTGTGGCGGCTTGGAGTAGGAGCGGCCGTGCAGGGGCTCGGTCTGCCAGCCGTAGTAGTCGTACTCTTGACCGCGCACGACGTGCAGCGCCCCGAGCAGCAGCGCCAGTACGGCTGTCCGTGCGCCCCCCGCCGCTCGCATGGCTGCGATGTCCCCGCGGGCCCGGACGTCTCTGTGCTCGCGCCCGGATGCCCCGCGTGCGCGCCGGCCGTGATGCTCCCTGCAGCCACCGCAAGGGTCGTCCAAGAGGGTGGCAGCCTCCGCTCCGCTGCGGGGGCCCGGAGTGATCCTGGCGCCTCCCACCTCGGGGCTCCAGCCCCGGTCTCTTAGTGCTCCAGCCAATCTGCGGACGCCGGGCTCCCGCCCCGAGTCCGCGGACGGGAGGAGCCCCGAGCCACTCCCGCTCCGCTCCCGCCCTGCACCGTCGCGCCCCTGTCGGGTCAACTATTCCCCTGCCGCAGCCCGGGCCTCGCATTGCGCCACTCCCGGGGCTCCCTCTTCTCTCTCGGCATTTTCCTCACCCTTGCCCTTTTCTCCATCCATCTTATCTATCTCCGCCACAGCCTCTCCTGTTCCTTTTCTCACTCACTTCACCTGCTTATCTCTTGGCCTCGGCCTTTCCCGCTCTGCTCTGGTTTCTCTTCCCCAACACCTCGGTTGCTCTTCTCCCTTCTTCGATTCTCTTGGTCACCCACACCCTCCTGGCCCAGGGTGGTAGCGCTTCATCCTGCAGTCTTTAAGCATCCACTGAGCTACTCCCTGAGGCCAGGGCACCCTGCTGGCTCCTGCAGATGGGAAAAGGACAAGACCCAGACACTGCCAAAGGGGCAGGGTGAAGGGAATTTCAGCTTTTATTTAATGAACTCCTACTAAGTGCCAGGGACAACGTGCCACATGCACAGCCTTATCAATGCCTCTTTCTAATGAAAGTTGGTACTCAGTGTGTGCTAGTTGTGTTTCAAGATTGTTTAGCACATTGCATAAACATTCTCACAGTAATGCTATAAGGTAGGTAGGTACCATTATTGTCCCCATTTTACAGGTGGGGCTGAGAGAGGTTAAGCAAGGATTAGAGCTATTTGAATCCAGGTAGTGTGGTTACAGATCCAGAGCCCAGAAACAACCAGGAGATCTGGATTCTAAGCACTCAGAGTGTTGAAATAATTGGCCCTGGGTCACATAGCTCATATCTGAAGGAGACAGGATTTGAATTTAGGCATTAGGATCCAAAGAACAGGGCTTAAGTACTCTATGTTAAGATAGATTCTAACTCTGGATAGAAAGCCCTGTACGAGGAGGAAGTGTCACTGTCATCCAGACAGACATAAGAGGGAGAGGTGACTTCCAGGAATCCCACACTTTGTGTCTTTTCCTCCTGTCTGAGTCCTGCCTTCCTTGACTTTCCAGTGAGAGGAACTTGGAGCAGAGGCTTGTGGGTGAAGAGACTTTCTTGTGAGCCTCACTTGACCTCTGACTTCCCTCTGGGGAGGAGTCTCCTAGGAGGACTTGGGGAGCTGGGGCCTGGTTTTGCTGGGAGTGAGTGCTCTTCCTGGCTTCCCATGGATCAGTCCTTGCAGTGGTAGCAGAGAGAGGCAGGGGCCACTCCTAAATATTCACTCAACACCCTTAATATTCACCCAACACATAAAGCAGATGGCAGATATGGGCGAGGTGTGGATACAAACAGGTACAAAAGACTTGGTCCTGCATCAGTTGATGTAGTTGTGAGAACAAGACGCCAGGCAGAGCAGAGGAAGCAGAGAAGATCTGGCAGACAGCTCAGGATGGGACACCATACCTTCGATGTCCTGAATGACATAGTTGAGTACAGGTAGAGCAAGCTAGGGAATTTCCTTTCCCTTTTTTCTTTTCTTTTTCTGCAGCATTAAGAGGCTTTGGAGGAGACGGTTTAAAGGGTTAAAGGCTGGTCTCTGCAGGGCCAGGCAGTTTAGGGTAGTAACATACGAGAGCCCTGACTCTGCAGACAGAAAGAGCCAGGTTCAAATCCTCCCAACTGCCTGTGTGAGTTTGGGCATGTAAAAATGGTTCTGACCTTCAGTCCTTTTTTTTTTTTTTTTTTTTTTTTTTTTTTTTTTTTTTGAGACGGGTTTTCCT